GTTTAAAATTGCAGGAGGTGTTCACATAATTTTTAATTCCAGAATCACAGAATCACAGAATGGTTGAGGTTGGAAGGGACCTCTGGAGATCATCTAGTCCAACCTCCCTGCTCAAGCAGGGTCCTCTAGAGCATATTGCCCAGGACCCTGTCCAGATGGGGCTTGAATATCTCCAGCGAAGGAGACTCCACTATCCTTCTGGGCAACCTGTACCAATGCTCTGTCACCCTCACAGGGAAGTTTTTTCTCAGGTGTAGATGGAACTTCCTGTGGATCAGTTTGTGCCCATTGCCTCTTGTCCTGTCGCTGGGCACCACGGAGAAGAGACCGGCCTCATCCTCTTGACACCCTCCCTCCAGATACTTGTACACATTGATGAGATCACCTCTCAGTCCTCTCCTCTCCAGACTGAACAGGCCCAGCTCCTGCAGCCTTTCCTCATAGGAGAGATGCTCCAGTCCCCTCATCATCTTTGTAGTCCTCCGCTGGACTCTCTCCAGGAGTGCCATGTCTCTCTTGTACTGGGGGGCCCAGAAATGGACACAGTACTCCAGGTGAGGCCTCCCCAGGGCTGAGCAGAGGGGCAGGATCACCTCCCTCGACCTGCTGGCAACACTCTTCAATATCTAGAAGTAATATCTAGAAGCTCTATGGCTAGCTCTCTTGTCTTGCAAGGTTTTACTATTGTACCTCTATAGCTCACAGAGTAGGTGTCTGGTCCATAGCTGTATAATTTATTTCTTCTGTCTGAATACTATAATGGAAAAACTCTGTGCTTTGTGAGATTTTTAAGTGAAAGACAATGGCACCAAATAGATATGCGTAACTTTATTAAGGCTAGCTAAATTAAACACAAAAACTAGTCAATATCTCATTCGGATAGTTTTGTTTACTCAATAGTTTCGGGAAGCAGTAAGTATAAAGAAGTTTGCTGTGCTTTGATTTTTAACTGTAGCCTTTTGCTAGAGCATATCATATTCTTGATTTGCATGGAGGCCTAGCTTCATCCTGCCAAACTTTGGCCTGCAGTTGACAGAAAGGCATAGATGTTACTTGGTAGGTGATTCATCACAGTTGTCATCTGAACTGCTTTCTGACAATCCTTATATGTCAGTGTTGAAAACATTGGTAACCTGGGCTACTGATTCAGGCAATCCTAAATTTGATAGGTAGATAATGGCTCTTTTTAAATTTTATTTGTGCTTTGCCCTTAAATTGAAACAGAGTCTGACATCAGCACATGACTCCGTAAGTTAACACTTATCTACCATGAAGTAATAATAAAATATTGATTTGGCAACATTGGGTGAGGAGGATCCCAAAACTAAGAATTCTACAAGGGTAAAACTTTTTAGTTCCATGAGGGGAACCCACAACTTGTGCATTGTGATGCTTATTAGCTCTACAGCAACCAGAAGAATTAAAACATGTCCAAATAGGCTTCACATCAAGCAAATGGTTGATGAGAAGCTAGCAAAAATATCCAAGTGAAAATTCTTCACAGCAAAGTGCAATTTAATACATCCTATACTTCTGTAGGATACAAAAAGCTATATCAGAATGCAGTTTACAGCCAAATCCCTCTCCTGGGGTTTTTGGAAATGGTCTGTTGGCATAGGCTTTATTCCTAAAATGTTGCACTGGCATGAGAAAACCACCTTTTGTTATAAGACCACTGCTTAAATCCGGGCACTGACTTTGGAAGAGAAGTCCTGCACACAAGTTCTTATTTGTATGTCATGTCTGGTTTTGCATTTTATTCATTGACTCTGTAATGTAAAATGCAAAGACAGTCCTGGGGTCAAAAGCCAAAAATTATTTATTGCAAGAAACATCTAAATGATTCTTGTCAGTCAGATGCAGATTTGGATTCCTTCAGGTTGGATTAGAAGGCAGGTAGCCTAAGGGAGTGCCCACACCATTGAGTTCCTCTTATAAAATGCCGTTGTCCTGCCTTTCCCTCCCACAATGGTTTTGAACAAGGTTGGTTGCGGATAGAATTTTTTATTTTTCTTAGCTCTGTGCTGTTAGCACTTTAGTCATTTTCTGAGCATTCTTTCTGAATTGCGACTTGGGTATACAAGGCTAGATTTGGCCTAGGTACATGCATAAGCAGAATTTTAGGTGCGGTGGCTGCTTCACTGGAGAAACTATAGTTGCTTTTACGGCTTTTTCAGCCAGCTGATATGCTGTCTGAGGCAAAGCTTTAGGAGTCCCTCTTCAGCTTAGAAATATTCAGCTTCCACCTGGGCCCCACTGGAGGTGCCTGTTTCAGAAGCCCCTTCCTGAGTAATCCTTTCCTCAGAGGAACGGATGGCTGCAGTTCAGCGTAGTAATCATCAGGTGCTTAATTTTCATTCATGAATACTCTTCTTCCACATCAGTGGAACTATTAGCATGTTTTAATGTAGGCATATATTTAAGTGCCTTTTATGCAAGGCAGAATTGCATCCTAATACACTGGATGGATAACAAACCCCGTCCAAAGCTGTTGTGCTATCACAACACTGGAGTAGAAGGATAGCAATTTTGGCTCTTCCACTTACACCAAAAAAAAAATTCGCAGACTATTGCTGGGCTTTTATAACTAAGAAATAGTAGTGACCTCAGTTTGCCCAGTCTATCAATCCACATCCAGGAGTAGCCAAGTAACTATGTTGGCATAATCTTTTTTTTTTTTTGACTTGCTAAAGTACATACCTAAAGCTTCTTATGCTGTGCACTGTCAGAAAAACTACTGTACATATGAAAGAGATGAGAGAAGAGAAGGGCCAGGTTTGGTTTAGAGGTGGGATATGATGCCCCTTCTAAGGAATCTTGTTTAAGTATCCTAATGGATATTGTTTGGGAAAACACACAAATACAGTTTATGAGCAGCATTAATGAAAAATAACTTTTCTTTATAGTAAAAACTGAGTATTGCTTCAGCCGTAGTGTTTATTATGAAGAAAAATGTGGTGGAGAACAAAGTGGTTAGAATTTGCAGTGACTCAGTTCATAAGGAGATTTGTGTAGGCATTTGCTGATGAGCATCTGTTGTTCCAACAGCCTAGGAATATGACATAAATATAAATGCTCATGCCAGTGTTTAACCGACGTTCCCTCTAGCATGCAATCCTGTCTTTTAGTTTTATTTTGATTCTTGTTGAGCCCTTCTGTGATTTGAAATCACTGGAGGAGAAGGGAGAGTAACATAAACAGCAGACATCTTAAAGTCTTGGAACAGTGAGAGAAAAAGCCCTGTGGTGAAGGAGAGGGTACAGCTTGGATATTTTCTCTCATTAGTTTTTGGTGGCTCTAGCACGGACGATATTTGCATTTCTGCGTGTGCATATAAATATAGCTGTGCACAAAGGTGGTAAAGATGTGGTAGTGCAGAAAGATGGCTATTGCATATGTAAAAGAATCCTTTTTGTATCCTGTAAACCACTGTGACTTACAGGCACTGTAAGTACACTTGTTCAGACAAAGCAACCTATTTTCAGGCAAGTTAAAATATTACCCAGCTGCTTTTAGTCTGTTGTTGGATAAAATACGCTGATTCTTTTTAATTGGAGTTAAAAATTACTTCACAATTGAACAAGTTAATAGTGTGCAAGGTATCACTTAAGACAGCTTTGCTTACTGGTGGTTAGTTACTGGTGGCTGCTGCAATGCAAATGCCTTATACCCCATAATATTGGAAGAGCACTTGGTTCTGCAACCCTTGTTCAAGTTGTTGTGCAAGTTCAGATTCAGGAAAGTACTTCATCTATGCTTTCTGGTATGGGGAACCCTGTCTTTAAGGACTTGAATTTCTGAAAAGAAGATCTTGCTGTGACAGGAACAGCTGTGAAATTCCTATAATATGTTGGCAGCATAGAGACCCTGAGAACACGTTACCTGCTTAGAGTTAACTCAGCATTGTTTCAGGCCAGGAGCAAAAAGAAATGACAAAAAGAAGAATACTACGAATGGAGAAGTGAAAATATTTGATATTCCCAGAATTGTCTTTCTTGGGAAGGGCAACTGAAAGAAATGCAGACACTGGAGAAAAGAATTCAAGGCCAAGAACTTCAAGCTCTGAAAGCTTAGCAAGCCTCCTTCCATTTTCCCACTTCTACTCCCTCCTTTTTGTGATGGAAACATCTCCCATAAGTTTCTGTAGATATGACCAAAGACTGAAAATCATTACCCTACATTCACACAGAATCTTTTTTTTTTTGGTGGCATTTTAAATCTAATTTTATTTGCTTGTTAACCTGCTGATTTTTTAAAATAGATTTTGTTGAATTCTGTTGACACTATTTTATTATTGTATTATTAAATAACGTTAAATGGATTTGGTTACTGTGCTCTAGAAGTTTGTGCTTAGGTTAACTTTAGTAAAGAGTTCAGGACAACTGACTGTCATTGACCTCAGCTCTTGGAAGCTTTAGCAGTGTTAGGATGAACACTGAGGAGGTCAGTAGGAGCTATGCTTTTTAGTACAGAAATTTGTAAATCAGAAAAGTGTTTTCCTGGGGTGTTACAGGCCATGTCCACTCTAGGATTTATTTTTTAGTATCTTGGTAACAGCAGTTTTTAAGTGTCAAATATGAGTTGTTACAAGGCACAGAAGGACTTTGTTGCATTTATTACACCTGCCAAGTATGTTAAAACTGAAGAATTGCTTTGTCTTCAGTGCTGTTTTAATATGGACTTTCTTAATCTTTAAAAGGATATCCTTGCAAAAAACAAACACAATAATAATTATACCTATATTTTATATAGTTTTTCTGTGCCTGTGTTACTTCTATACTTTGAAAATATACTATGCCTCTTTCACAGACGGGAAAATGGAGATATCCACGGTAGGTAAAATAACTTCACTTGGAGGTCATCTAGAGGAAAACAGATCTGCTCTCAAAACAGTACCTTACTGTAGGTCATATATGAAACTAACAAAAATGTATTTTTAAGTTAACATAACAGGAAGACCACTTTTGAGATGTCACTTAACATTTACTTTTTTTCCACAGGAACTTTTTACGCCGGAGTGCAAATTTAAGGAATCTGTTTTTGAAAATTACTATGTAATCTACTCATCCATGCTCTACAGACAACAGGAATCTGGTAGGGCCTGGTTCTTGGGGCTGAACAAAGAAGGGCAGGTCATGAAAGGAAACAGAGTGAAGAAAACAAAACCAGCAGCTCATTTTCTACCCAAGCCATTGGAAGGTGAGGTTCAGTCCATCACTGTCAGATAGGCTAAAATGTTAAGATCCTGTTACAATTATCACAAAATGAAGAGGGAACATTTTCTAAAATACCATGTCTGAATGCACTTGCCACACGCAGGAGCCATTCCAAATGACAGTTCCCAGGATTCATGGTGTGGTTTTCTGCTTCGGCATCGTGATGCTAGAAAGGGCATATGTAAAAACATTCTTTCAAGAGATTAAGAGGTCATTTTTTACAAGAAAATAAATCTTTTGTTGAAGTGCATTGTGCTGTTTTTTAAATAATCTCTCGGTAGGGGCAAAAGCTGTTGTGACTGTTGCAGTGAGGAATACTCCTTTCATTAAGCAGAGTGAAATAATGGATATTGTAGGATAATTGGAGTTATAAATGGAATGGATGAAATGTCAGCATTCCAAAATGAGAGCTTCCTAATACGAAACACAAAAGTCTGTTTATGAAATAAATCATACTATATTACTTAGCCAGCTTGTGTAATGCATACATCTTCTGTAAGTTGGCCTTTAAGCTAAGACAGAAGCAAATAAAAGTCATACTAACCTTATATATTAAAATGATGTCACCCATTCTCTGGAAAATAGGTTCAGTTAAATCTTGGCAATATAACTTTTGATTTATCCTGTATATTCTGCAAGCCTTTTCCTTTTCAGCCTGTGCTTCTTTTTGCTTCTTGTCCTGACAGCATTTCATTCAGATGATTGCTACACATAGCCTCAGCCATTCTGAAAATTATCTCATTAGTTAACATCTTAAAGCACACACCTGAGTAATGCTTTAATTAGCAGTGCCACGTCTTTCTTTTAACCTTTTAACTTTGAAGATTTTTGATCTAAAGAATCAGTTTGTTAAATGTTTTAGAGTTTGACCATGAGGTCAGAATTTGAAGAGCCGTGTGTTTTAACTTCATATTTGAACTCAGGTTGATGCCTTTTTGCTTCTTTGCTTTACAAAAGCCTTAAGATTTTCAGGATCTCTTAACAATATCTGCAGTTTATATGTCAGTCCCTTTATAGTAAATGTTAACAATTTGTGTGGGAGGGAGCTGGTGCATTTTTAAAAGCAGCATCAATTCATATGGATTAGGAAGAAGTGACTTTTTAAATGTTTTGATGGTCAGACTCTATCAAAATAGCTCAGACAAGGCTTAGAAGTAAGTTGCTTTATGTTGCCCACAAGATTCATCAAATATTACATCTCTGCTATGTAATTCCTTGCCTTATAGTTTTGTCTCATGTTATTGGACTTAATATTTTGTGGGTCATGGTGTTATTTCATCGTGCCCTTTAATTAATCAGCAAAGAGAAGTGTCCTAAACCCAGTTATGGGGGTTCACTCTGAAGAAATAGATCATAACCAGCCTCACGTTCTCTAGAGAAGACATTTAATTTCAGACTTTCAGAAGCCATAAAAGGATTTAGATTATGTCGCTGGAACTGTTAGAACAAGTTAACTATTTGATTAGTTAATGATGCTTTGGGACCCTTCATATTTATTATAAAACTTCACACTATTGAAGATCAAGGTCAGTACTTTGATACTCCTGCCTCCTACTCTAATTAGCCAAGGGATGAAGGGATTGTGCTCTCCGTGGCAGCACACAGCCAGCCCCGAAATCATGGTGTGATGATTAATTCTTCTGACGGCTTTGACATCTCTTTTAACATTGCTCTGATATAAATAAATGCTACTGAAGTTAGGTATAAGTGGAAATATTACCTGATTCAGTGACATGGAAAATGAAATTGAATTATCCAAGAGCATTAATCATTAAGGCAGCTTAACGCTGGAACTGTGTAATTGAACACATGTATTTTCCTCAAAGGATTTAAACGGGTTATATAGGGACTGAAGCCCAGGGGCAAACTTTTAATTCCTCTAAGAATTCAGTTAATAGGTTAATTTGCAGTTTTCTGCACTTCTACATTCAGTGGAGATCAGTGGCTTCTGAGTAAATTTTTTGAAAGAAGGAAGAAAAAAACCCAACTGTCTTGTGTGCTCTCTACAGGACTGTCCTGCACATTTATACAACATAGACTGGAAGAGGTCATGGCTAAGTTCCTCACACTTGAGAGTTAGATATACAAATGACATTGCAGAGTTAGGCCCAAGCCTGGTCTTGCAGTCTCAGACTACAAGAGAAGGCTTAAGTCTAAGCAATTTTATCATATAATTCCATTCATAAAAATCAATCTATGTTGTCTCATTGTATTTTACACTTAAAATCTTATAGTATAATTAATTTGTGTATATATACATATATATTTATATATACATATATAAAAATTAACACTTTGTGTCTCTGCCTCATACAAAGATAGAAGAATAATTTTTAATTTCTGCAGCTTCTATAGTTCTGTTCAACAGGCAAACATAGTTTCCGACGGTGTTTTTAAGTCAGATGTGACTGAAGACAGAAGCTTAGAAGGTCAAGATATCACTCAAGCAAAATAGGTCTTTTTCAAAATATAAATAATTTCCCTCATATGCAAGAGGAACAGAGAGTATATTAAAATATTAGTTCTTGTAGAAAATTAATCCTATTTTAGATACTTTTTCTTAAAAATGTATCTCCCTTTTCTTTTCTCCCGTTAGTTGCCATGTATCGGGAACCATCTTTGCATGATATTGGAGAAACAGTGCCAAAGGCTGGGGTCACTCCAAGTAAAAGCACAAGTGCATCTGCAATAATGAATGGCGGCAAACCAGTTAACAAGAGTAAGACCACATAGCCAGATCCTCACAGGTGTTGTGACTTACTGAGTCCAGAGTACAGTTGAGCGATTTATCCTTGCCAGACTTTCCCTCTGCAGTGTCCGTGGATCAGCTTGAGGCAAGCGAAATACTTGCTCTTTGCTGTTTCTGAACTAAGTTGTTGCAAGCGGATAAATCTCAACATGTAGCTCCTCCCACAACAAGAAGACACCTGGATAAACCAGCTAAACTCAGACCGTGGAATGCCCTACCAGATATTGGAATGCCTTTTTAATATCTTTTCTGTGACTGTGACACTTCATGTGAATGACATACTTCACAAGTACACTTGATACCTTGCCTGCTGACAATTACCCATAATCCCTTTTTGAGTCCAGTTTCAGCAAAATCCATGTGTTTAAGTTCTATTTTGTAGCACACAAATAATCAAGTAATTTCTAGTTAGATGCTGTAAACCTGTGCTATTATGGATTTCTCTTCTCCCCTTTTTTATAAGGCTGCTCGCTCCACTGTCTGTGATCTTTTGCAGGGATTGTGTTTCTCTATAACTTAAGTGTTGCCGGTGGCTTAGTTTTGAAAGCAATCAGGGAATCAGGAAGCCTTCGAAAATCTATTACTGCAAATTATATCTATAAAGAATAAGATGTTGTCTCTGGCTTATAATATTGATTAAATGTGAATACTCTTAGTAACAGATACTGTGCTCCTGAGGTTGGCATTAAAGTGGAGGGAAGACTGTCAAACACCCCGATGATAGAAAGATTTCCGAAAAGTGTGTTTGACATTCCCCTGTAGTTTCTTTTTGTGTGTGTGTTTTATACATATCACAGGCTTACTGGTAATGGTAACATTTGCCTTGCCCAGCGAGCAAGACCCACTCATTTTTGGGAAAGTGGGTCAAAAGAACTCTGTAGGCCTTGTAGGCCTGAATTAAGGCTCATTTTTCATCTACTAAATCCTCATTATTTGAAAAACAACCACCACCAGTAAAAAAAATAAGACTAACCAGAATTGCGCTACCTAAGTCCACTTCAAATATAATCCTTTCCTGTTTTTAAGGAACTGAACTTAATGCCATTGTTATTTTTGGCTGAATTCCACACATACTCAGCAAAGCATGGGCAAGGATGTTGTTGTGTTCTTTTCTGCAGCACAAGTGCAAAGGGTAGTTACAAATTATACTTTAATATTTCTGGTGTTTTAAAACAAGTTTTAAAACTGGACATATTACAAAACTTTCTTTTTAATTTTAGCTCAGCATGCAAAGTCCAGTCCTATGTATCTCACCAATATCCCAGTATGTATCTTTACCCAGCTTCCTAGGATAATATGCCCACCAAATTGCTAGATTAAAGGTGCCTTGCCTTGATCTCTATATACTGTACCTTCTCCTACATGAACCTAGAAGAAAACAAAAACATGATAAAATTGAAGCCTTGGATCATATTACAAGAAACACCATCAACACTCTGAGTGTGTCATTTATGAACAATGAAACTAATGTTAAGGGGAAAAATAAGATTTAGACAATACCACAGGGATGCCATTGAAGTGTTAGTTAGTTAGTCACATGCTTTCAGAAAACTAAAAATATGGGTACTGTCAGTATGCCTAAGAAGGTATTTGCTTCTCAGAAATGGCAACAAGGACCAAATTGTACGTTAGTCTGGAAAACTCTGTGTGAGAACACTGTTTTGGCCTCTTGCTGTTATCTTGATATTTAAAGATAAAAAAGGAACTCTTCCATTCCTTTTTTTAGCATTGTATTTCTGGCAATTTATTTTATCGTATCTTTATGCTTAAATCCCTAGCAGAGCCCACTGGTTATTTCAAACTCCTAACCTGCTCAGCTGAATAACTGATTCAGTCTAAATGAATTCTTCATGCTAGTTTTCATGTGTTCTGTTTTTCTAAGCAACATTTAGTACCTTATTGAAGGAGGCTACTGTAAAGCTGCTAAATTCTAGATAATTAAACTGATTTTTTTTCTTTTTTTTTTTTTTGGATAGGTTAGACTTCCTTGTTTGTATTCATAATATAAAAACAGCAAGCTAACACTTGATGCTGGATCTTTCTTGGGGCAGGGGGTGAGACAAACATCCAAAGTCCAAATCCACATACAAAGAAAAAAATACAAAGCTACTTTAATACTGTGATAAAAATACAAGAAACTTTGACTTAGACTGTCCTCTTGCCTGCTAGCTCTAAACCACTTTGTTGAAAGCCTTAGGGTAAATCTCGGTGCACCACTCTCAACCCATCTCGTCCAGTGGGATTTGTGTACCATCCCCAAGAAAATTAAGCAAGAACAAAGCCAGTCATGTGGTAAGCTGGGAGCTTATGCTGAATCTGGGGGATCCATGGGACATAGCAGCCTTGATGTTGTATTATATACCATGTCCCTAAGGTATCCCCAATCTTTCTAGAATTATAGGAGGAGCAATTCACAATATTTTGAATAGACTAATAAAGCTGAAGGCTACATTTTCTCTCTCTCTCTCTCTCTCTAAATTTCAGAGAGTTCATGAGGAGGTAATACATGTGTTTGTGTCCCACATAGTCCTCTTTTTACTTTTCCCAGAGTAAGAGCTTGGGAAGAGGCAGGGCTGGAGAACTGGCTGAGACATGCAATGAGGATCTGGCTCATGGCCTGATGCTACATAAGTATTCTTTTCAACATTAGACTTTCAATCCCAGCTAATTAAAATCTGCCAACCAATGTTGGAGTTATAATTAAGGCCAGATTTAATTTTTGTAAGCCATTAGTTCATACTGGAAATGCAACTTTTTTTTTGTTCTGTTATTGTTTACATGGACTAAATACATATGTATGTTTTATCCAATGACTAGTGGTCCTAACAATCATTTCTTCTGCAGTCTGTTTAAATATAGCAAAGGGGTCTTTCTGCTTTGGTTACTTCCATTAGTTTTGTCTCTTGTCTCACTTGTTGCATGGGAAAGAGGATGGCAAGGATGAACTGCATGTAGTAGGTTTTGTGTATCAAGGAAGTGTTGGTCTGTATTACTGAATTTACATACATATATGCAAAGAGTTTGTCTGCATCGTTTGTGTTTATTATTATTTGTTGTATACACAGATGTAACACGTTGAATAAAAAAATTTATATGAAGGCATACTGAAAAAAACAAAAAAAATGTAACAAGTAGACTGTGCAAAACATCATTGCACTGGCCACAGTATGGTGAAACTTCATGCAGATAGGTTGGCAAACTCAATTCTCCCCTTTTACCATGCCAAAGAAAATTTTAGCTCCTTAATACCTCTATTGCTGTTTTCCAGGATAGGACTTTACCATTTTGTTCCCTCTAAAATTAATTTTGCCGTTAAGTGAAAGCTGTTTTCAACTGTTTGTTACTACTAAAGTACTGTATAGCAAACCTGATGGAATCAGTTTGTATTTACAGATTGGGTGTTTTGTACTTACATGTCTAGCTGTCTGTGCCTCTACAGCAGTCCAGATCTTTTGCACGCTTGCTTTGTATTTTGTTTTTCTTCTGGGTTTTATCTAATCTCAGAGAGACTGTTTGCACAGCAATCAACCCCATCTTACCATCTTATTATGTACAGATATGGTAACACTACACATAGTCATTATCTCTGCTTTTGCTTCCTTTGCTTTTTTTAGCCACACTCAAATCACTTATTTTTACTATACTGTCATTTTCATAAAGTTTAACTTGTGTAGAGTCACTTTGCTCCTCAACAAACCCCCCAACACCACCATTAAATATAAAATAAAACAATTCACTTTGACTGTAGTATTTACCCAAAAAATGCTAAAAAATCTGACTTTTTATACATATATGGGGAAACTTTTTCTCTTGGTTTAAAAGCACTCTAAGTAATGAGGTATGAGAGCAGGCAGTTTGGTCCAGGCATTACAAGTGTGTCTTGCTGATCCGTCTGCTCATTGGTATAAAGCAGAAATTATTCAGCTCCAGTCAAATGAGAATGCAAGTAAAATTAGACATAGTAAGGAGGTTATCTTTCTTTTAAATGCCTCTTTGGATAAACTCATATTCTGTGCAATGCATTTTAAAATGTCTAATAACAGTATTTTTTCGTGATGACTAATGCAAATGGTATGACTTATTTTTAAAGATGTAATAAAATCTTTGTTCTATTACCTAGTCACAGAAATATTCAACTTAGCTTTCTTCATCCCAGTAATAAAGTGTGTTATATCATTCAGCTATGAAGTCAGATGACATTCTTTAAAGAAGCAAGGACAGGGCATCAGAAAGGGCAGACCAGGGACATTTAAATCTTCATCTACATGGCTCTTAAAAGATAGCACGGCCAAGGAAAAAAAGATCACAAGGATATTAATAATGTACAAAAGCAAATCAATCCGCAGCTGTTTTGCAGATGACATTCCAGAAGATGCAATACACAATGGGCATAATTCTACCAAATGCTGCAAGTGTATTGTAGAAGCATTCAGCCCACTTCTGGATTGTGTTCTTTCTATCACGAGAAGAAAGCAAGGCTATATTATCATTGTTTTTAAGATTTACCAATCTAGCCAGTACAAAATCCCCATTTATCCCATTTATTTTCACCACCTATAACTACCTTTTGCCACAGGCCTGAAAGCAATTTTTTACAGTCACTAGATATGAAGAACCATCCAGAATGTTTCACTCCCTTATGCCTCTCCCTGCTTTTACAGTTTAGGCATCTTGAATTCCTGACACCAGGAATGAGCTGTAAAGTCACAATTTATTAATACAACTAGTATTTTCACATATGTGGAATAATAATCTTATTCCTTCAGGTCTCATATTTCTAGTGAGGAAATGAGCCACAAAACAGATCTGCTGGGAGTCACATCGTGAGTTTCCTCAGCATGAAAGGGGGGAAAAAAAAGTTCAAGCAACATTGTAAGAAATAGAATAAAAATTGGAAAGGAAAACAGATATTCATTATACTTCTAATAGTCTTTGTAAATATTTTAAGGTTTATAGTGATAGCACCATTTTGTTTGATAATTTACATTTTAATTGGCCCCTGAAACTAGCTGTGTTAGAATATTCTAATATATTTCCATACTTACCTTAACAAAAACTTGAGATAGCACTTTCTGAAATTCTACGGCTATGTAATCCACCCAGTAACCAAAATACTGAAGTTGGGTATTTTTAAAAAAAATTTCTAACTAGAAACCGGAATTATTTTACATTCTTTTAGTACATAAATTTAAAAGGGAAACAAATTACAAAGTAAAATGCATCAAAAACAACACTGAAACCCTCTAAAGGATCTTTTTTTTTTGTCTATGAATGGGAGTACCTGAAATTCCAAGGCTGATCTACAGTATCTATAAATGTTTGTCATATCAGGAAACAAGTCAAAAGTTTCTACTGAATCTAAATAAGAGCACTGGTTATCTACTATCTCCTCTTTTACAGTACTAAATGCAAATGAAAGGAAATCAAGTACAACCTTGTGTCTTTCCGTGTTTATATTCTGACTCAGCAGAACGTGTATGCCAAAAAACACTGGTTATTATAGGAGGACTCAGGTCAACAGTATTCATAAATATAAATAAGACCAATATTCTGTGCTCTCCAGTCAGACACCAGGGTTGACAAATTGCATATACGTTAAAATATATGAAAGTATTCCTGTTCAGTTCTACATAGTTTGAGGGTTATAACTAGAAAATATAAACTATAATTTCAAAAAGTGTTTTACTTTTAAGTTTCTTTATACTGTGTCAATACATTTTAGAACTCTGCCTGAGTTTTGATTACCTAAAAAGAGAGCAACTAGCAGCTTTGGGATATATATGTCTCATTATTTATGTGCATAACTCCTCTGCAAGTTACGCATAGGCATTTGGTGGTTATACTGTGTCTCCCTGAGAACATGGGTTTCATAAGCTTCATTTTTAGAAAGAAAGAATTCAGTTAAGAAAAAAACCAGGTAAGGTAAAGAGCAAGCTACATGGGAAGGAGGAAAAATAAAAGTGATTATTCGAAATGACTTATAAATTCATTTAATTTTTTTTGCATTCTAATTATTACATGTTCTGTACCATTGTATTTTCCTATTTCAAAAGCGTCCTTTCTAAAAGAAAATAAATTTCTAGACGAATAATGGAAATACCTTTTTCAGTTGATATACAGTTTCCTTATTTCTGAGTCATGTACCTCTCTTAAAAACCTGGACCTTATCACCTAAACCACAATATTACAGTTTGATATTAACAACAAGTATTTTCCAATCATTTAAACAATTTCTTGATCAATCATGATTTCACAAAATGTAATGACTTTTGAAAAAAATATGTATGTATTTTTTTGCTCTAAAGAATTAAAGGGCTGCCAAATCTACATGTATAAAAAAAGGAGACTCACATGTAAATAAGTTAGGGAAGTCCCAATAGTTGTGCATTGTTCATAACTCAATGTGAATTTCACACTGAGCAGCATTTCACCATTGGAAAATAAAAAATAAAATTTTTGTTCATACCACTGCTTTGTTTGTATTTACTGTATTAAAACTTTAATTACTCTGTTGCTGTCATCTGAAGATCTGTGGCTGAGACCAGTGTACTGCACAGCATAACTAATTTTTCAGGTTAGTTGACCTTCAGGCTCCCAACTTCTATGAAAACAATGAAATTCAATGAATACCATGTGTGAAAGTGCAATCTGTTCCAAACAGAGATTCCTAATAGCATACAGAATTGTCATTCTGAAAGGTGTTAGTGTAACAAGTTTTCCTTTGTTTTACTTTCAAGAGGACTAGCCAAGTGTACACATGTAAAACAGTATGATAAAAGTACATGAGCTGTAGGATATATATTCAGAATAGCAAATCATACATTTTTATCTTTATTTCAGTCATTATACTCTATAGGTTATGCATTTGAAAGTATTGTAGTATGTAGAATAGATAACCAACTTATTGTCATTTTAACCACAGAAATTAAAGGTTCTCTTGTGGACAAGGGTATGTTCAAACACATTGGGTCCTCAGTCTGTGGTTGTCAGGTAACTGGACCTCAGTTATACAAATACAATTCTTTGGAAAAAAAATCCAGTCATTAAAGTTTTGGTAAGCTTTTTGCAGCTTCTATCGATTTTGGAACTGGGGCAGAGTCGGGATTATTAGAAAGAAACACGGTCAAACAACGTATTTGCCAAACACCATAAAATTGCTCAAATGAAATATTCAACTAGCTCTACTCTTCTGCTGTTACATACTGATGTGGAGATCTGACAAGCAAGTAAATAACATAAAAAAAGGCTTTCTTATATTTTTTCCCCAAAGATTGCTTAAGAAACAGGCATTAAGTGTGTAATCTCAGCCCCACTGAAGTCACTGAAAAACTATGGATAACTTCCACAGGGCCGTATTCTACGATTTCAGCTTTTAGGGCCTGGATTGTCCTGCTCCCAAGTGAAATCATTTTTAGTTTTGTCATATATTTCTTAAGGAGCAGGCCTTCAAATGACTGTTAACAGAGTATTTGCACACCTATACAAGCACGCGCACGCATGCACACACACATACACACACACACTATTTCTGAAATTAAATGTCCTAGCAGCCTAAAGAAAAATCAAACAAATTCCCCAGTCTTCAATGTCCTTTGTTAAGGGTATTCTGTCCCCAGCCAGATTTCACAAGCATTTCCATTCCATCCTTCCCAGCACTCACAGTTTCCACAGCTACAAACACCATTGCCTAGAACAGAATGAATAGAGGACAATTATCATAATTGAAATGTACTACATTAAAATGTGTTTTATGGGAAGTAAAAAGCCATGCTAAAGTAGTTGCATTGTCCCGCTAATGCCTCCCCCCCTTTTTTTTGTAAGGAAGCAATTACTGTACCACTGCATTAAAAAGCCACCCCAAATCTACACTTTTAAAGAATTAATAGCGTTCTCTCAATAATACCATCAGCAGAATTGCAAATATTGTAATTATGTCACCATTATTTGCACCCAGCCGTTGAGGCTCAGTGTTCACACTGCACTTTAAGGTGCAAGGAAAAAAGAGAATTATTTTTAGCTGTTATGAAGAAATAAAAAGTCATAAACAGAACAGTAATGAAGACATTGCTTTGAACCTGAAAAACGTTATACCTAAATTCTCAAAGTTCTATACAGATAAATAATATCTCACACTCTGTGTCTGATGAAAATATATTGTCCCTGTTTTGCCAAGGGGAAACATTAAGTACTGAGACACACATTTTCATTTTATTTAAATCATTTAATGATTTTTGGACGCTCAGCTAGAGACCTCAACAGTCTGGTTTTCCATGGTGAGCGACTACTCCTACCAACTTCATGAAGATCTGTGAACGGCCATTGCAGCTGCAGATCAGGCTCTTAGCTGCCTCTGTACTGGTTACTTGCAAAAATTGGACACTTACTAATTAGGTTAGCCAGGTGACCAGGTTTGTGACCTGAATTTACTACTGCCAACTCTCCCACTCTCGCTCTAATCAGCTTGCAGACTTCCTCCACATCTGATAATTACTCAGCAAAGATTTTCTAAAATTAAAACTTGTAACAGGCAGCAGCCATCAAGTTAATATAACAGTTCCCATACTGCTGCTTGTCACTAGGTTTTCTTGTTATGAGGGTTTGTTGGCAACCTGCTCATTTCTATTTGCATCTGTTATCTGAACTCTCAGCCAATGTTAGGGTGAAGGCACCTTTAATCACTAGCCATCACCTCATAAGAAAAGCTGTCAGGTATTTCAGCCTCCCAGTGAGAACTGTCTGAGTGCCAGGAAGCTTTGTTAACCAACACAGCTATTCCTCTCACCTAGCAAAGATTATCAGATAAGTGAATGTTTTCTGTTACTTGAATGCATTATACACACAGCAAATCCAGTAGTGAGAAAAAAAGTCTTAGAAATCACTTTATCATAATGCTGTCAATATGTTCTTTGCCCAAGCGACATAAGTTGTAGTCTATTACAATGAAAATTGTTGATGGATTTCATAACTGATCTCGTTATTTAAATTCATGCGCAGACTTTCACCTGTTGTTTTGCAACCTTAAGTTGATTATCACACTGCATGAAGAAACAATTATGGTAGGTTTGAATAACAACCAAATGCACCTCCTTCATCAGCAGAGAAAGAAGAAGCTGGGCTTTGTCTAATATAATTCCCATCAACACAGTTTGTTTCTTGGAGCAATTAAGCGTTAGTCTATACTGCACCTGTGCAAATGAGACCATCATGTTTGTCACAGTCTCTGTCATCACATTCACAGAAATCACCCGAAATGTACCATTCCTGTGGTGAACAGATGCACTTTCCACAGTGGCAGGAACCTGAAATCATGAAGATTATCACTCACAGTCAAAGAGCACTAGCATTTTCAGACTAGACTATAGCATCCCCAGACATGCACACACACACACACACACACGCACACACACCCCCCACACACAAAATTGCTGTCTAAGACACTATTGTATGAAGGAAAATAATCAAGCTAAAAGCTTTTTGAATAAAAGGATTCTTTCTGGGGGAGTGAGAGTATGGCAGGGCATTCCTTCTAACGCTTTGATTCTGCTATTTCATTTAATCAGGACTCACATTTTGAGACTTTCCTTTGGTTTCAGAGACCTACAATCAGCACTACTCTTCCTAGTAACTGTTCTCTTTTTTCTAGCTAGAAAAGCTTAAATTGTTCCCAACCTACTGTTACTGAAGGCAATAAAATAGTACCTAGGAAAAAAAGGCCCTGCTCATCTAAGGCCTTTGGGGACAGAAGCACAAAAAAATAGAGGTGCCTAAGCCTAACCTCAAAATCTTCACTACCGCAAATGAAGCTGTTTCACCTCCCACAGAATTATTAATCA